AGTCTATAGAGAGTGTGTCTATCACGTGGGCCTTGCCTCCTGCTGTATGGTAGTGCTCACGTGAGGGATGGAGTATGTTTGCGGTTTACGATTCACACGTTAGTCCTGTGTGTTTTGCTTTATTATGAGTCGTGATTCAAAGCATTAAAGAAAATATATTATCTTCCTTAAACTATGAGCGCAGCCTAAAAATCACACTGCTGTGGAGGAGAGAAGTAGGGAGCAGACAAGTATCCATGTTCTGCTCTTTGATTTAAAGTTGGGGCCTTTCAGCTATGTGTCACGTCATCTCCCAGTTTAAACTTAGGTAGCTAATTCGGTTTTGTTCTTTGCATAGAAGATCTTGTTTGATGTCTTTAGGAGGTGCATTTTTAAGGAGAATGTCTTTAGGAAAGCTTTGTTTACAAAGTGTTGAGAGGTAGTAGTAGGTTGGCTGTTTATAAATAGAAAGTTTGTATCGGCCTACGTGTCATAGTTCTCTGTAAAGCATATATTAGCTTTTGGTATGTATATATAATTATGTGGTATGTACATGTAATTATAATAATGGTAAAATTCACAAATAATTTCAAGTCCTAAATTTTGCCTTGAAGGCAATGAGAAATGTAAAAGACACTGACTTGCTTTTTCATACTTGCAGTCAAACTTAGTCTCCTTTTTGTAGATCCACGACTCCATCTGCTGGAGTACAAAGCCACCAGCCAGAGTGGCTCTCCATTAAATGCACTGCACTCCAGCACACTTGTGTGAGTAACTGCTTGGCAGAAGCTGACATAAAAAACACTGGAGTTTATTTTTCAGCTGGTGGATTGATGGAGTAGATTTCTCTGGAGGCATTGGTGTAATATTTTGTGTATTTTGACCAGTTTTAACACTTGTGGGGCTTTTTCAGCTGTTACATTCGCTGTTTGAAAGTTGAGTGATTTGTTTCTTTTGACAAGATACAGTAATATATAAAATACAGAGCTTCTTGTATAATTCTTACCCTGCTCATTTATGTATTTTTATACTCATAGAACTGCTGTAGGCAAGATGAAGGCCTAATGCTGTGTAGTCGGATGGTTCCTCCGAAGATCTCCTGTGTGGAAAAAATAAGCCCCAAGTATAAAATCTTGAGTATAAAATCTTGAGTATAAAATCTTCTCTGGCAATTAAATACATGACTAAGATATTTTTGAGATTAATTTGTATTTTTGCAACATCTTGGTGTAGATCAATGTGAAATGAAATTATATCCATTTGATTAACTTTTTAAATTGCTAATAAGAGGGAACATGTTTTGTTTGCGCTTTGCCTGCTTCTCATTTGCATTGGTTTCAGCACAGGAGCTCAGAAACAGTGAGCTGTAGCCAAGCTCTTGTGGAAGATCAGATCCTAAAATAATTCACCATTACTTTGGCTGCAATTAAATGTTTTCAAAATAGTTTACTTGTTTTCCTTTGGTATATCAAACTTTGTCTTGTGTAATACCAGATGCAAAAATGTGCATCAAAGATCCATTCCATAAAAATCAAGATTTGAATGTCTGTCTACTGCAGCACTGAATAAACACTTCAGTTTCAGCAATAACTAAATTTTAGAATTAAAAAGTATTACAAAGTAATTATGTGTTTGAACAAGATTCAGGCTTCCATACAGAATACCGTGTAGACTATTTTTTTGACTACGTGATAATGATGCAAAATATAATTTGTTATAAACAAGGAGCTTGATCTTATTGAAAGCCTTCCTAGACTGTCACTTTTCCTTGATCCTTCTGGTTTACTTGAGTTTTTGCTAGTATTCTAAAGACCCCATAATTTCTTTTAAGATACACGGAGCTTTGTATTAGGTCCTAGATTGACTGTGTAGGATCAGAATTGTCCGGTTTAAATTTGAAAGAGTGATCTGGAATGGCATAATAGGCATAATAATAAAAGGCATCTTTCTCTGCTGTTTTCTTTTTCCTCTGTTGCAGCTTTTAAGAATGATGCCAATAGGGATGAGGGTGTTAGATACAGAAAATTATTGGTTTTGCAGAGAATGTGTAACTGGAGTGAATTTCACTCTAAGGTTAGTGCTATAAAGTTATAAGCACAAGTAATTATGTTAAATGTGGAGACTGAAAGGAATCACCTCCTATTTTGTTCATAATAGGACATATATGGCAGTTTATAACTCCTGCAATAAGTGAAAAAAATTAATGAAAGATTATTTCATTAATATCTGAGGGTATTATCTTGAAGTACGTATTATTTTTTCCTGTGTTGCAAGTAGAATTGTCACTTTAACTCAGTGCTAAACTTTGGCGCTTTTACGCTGCAAAATGTGTGTGTATATATATATATAATATGCTATATGCAAATAATATTCAAAATATTAATAAAATAGTCACAATAGTCAAAGTATTCAAACTCTGTATACACATAAGCATCTATATATGCATATATGTGTACATGATTGTGTGTGTTTTGAGAAATGTCTTCTGATACCTATTGTAGACCTAGAAAGAACAGTATATTATAATTAGTTCATATTTTGTGGGTGAGGATTTCTGCTGCTTAGACAGTTAGAGAAATGTTGACAGTTTATTTGTGCTCTTCCTTCAAGAGGAAAGGAAGGAAGAATGAATGAATAAATGCCATTTTGTTATCTGCAGTTAGAGGCAATGTATTCTATTAAAAATTGTTACCACCTGGAAAGCCAAGGCTGTGTATATTCGCAGGTCAGTTATTAGGAATAATCTCTATTATTACTTAGAGAGAGCCTTTGTATTTCCATTGGAAGTCACAACATGTGCTTTTTGCTGTTTACTGCTTCCTTCTGCTTTCAACTCAGAGAATTTCATAATTATAAACTAGGATGGTTTGTTCTCCAGTGAACTGACAATTAAGTTGTGGGCAGGAGAGTGAATGATGTGAGCAAATGTTTTGTCTGAGCATAAAATGCCTATGTAGATTTAATGTATTTTTAAAATATTTTGCTCATCTGCTGCAGTTGTAAAACTGCATTCTAAAGTCTTTTTTTCAGCTGTTATAACGTCTCCTTAAAATACAAGGAAGAATCCTCACAATCCCTAAATAATCTTGTGTTGGGTGTATGTGCGTATCCATACATATCAGCATTGTAGAGGGTTGCATGTGGCTTTCCAAAGCGTGTTTTCAGTAGGCTCAATTATCGACAGACAAAGAAGGTGGTATAACATCAGCCCCTGTGTGAGTTCACGGGGCCTCAGCTTCGCTCTGCTGTTGCCTCTGCTTTTGCTCTTACAGGGGTGTAAACGCAAACGACCTTACGTGTCAGTGAAATGGAACAACAGGTCGTGCATCTCTTCATTGGGTGGATGTAAAGTTACTCTGATAACCTCTGTGTGTGTCTGTACCATCAGTTCTGTTGCAATCAGACTGGATTTAAATTTGGGTTTCAATTGCAGGACCTGGGTATTGTTTAGGTCGGGTTTTAGCTTGTCATCAGAGATCACCAATGACTTCTAGGAATTAGTGACCATTCCCTAGCTGTTTCTCTCATCTTAAACTACAAAATTGCTTATTGATTCCTAGTGCTTGTGAATATTGTGCCTGCTTTGCAGTGCGCGTTCAGACTGGAGCTGTACTAGCTTCTTAAGAAAAAATGTTAACAATTCAGAAAGTACAGTCCAAGGTCTAGTCAGAAATAGTCTCTGAACTAAATGGTTACCCTTTCACAGTAATATAACATATATGTAGTTTTTTTTACTCCTCAAATATTCAGTTTCCATTTTTATATGTGTGTGTGTGTAAACACTGTGTAACTATATATATTGTTCATAGTTATTTGTTGTAGCCATATAACGCATATCAAATTGCTCATTAGATGAATGAATTTGGTTTTGCACTTGACATACAAACATTGCTTAGATAAATGACCTGATTTTTATTCCGATGTGCTGAACACTTGCAGCTCATGAAGTTGCATCGGGCATTATACCTACAGCCTCTCTTGTTCTTGTGATTATAAATCGCGTGTTTTTATTGCTCCCTTTGTGGTCCTGTCTCTCACAGCAGTAGTTTATTATAATGAGAGCAAAAAGGAGATAGAACTGGTATTTGTTTCACAAAGATTAATTTTTTTCTAGTACATCTGTGGTGCTGATCAAAATAAGTTTTTATTGCTTAAATATTTATAAAAAAATGCCAAGTATCTGTGTATGGAATGCTTTTCAGTGATTTAAAAAAACCCTGCAAAAATAGCTAATTATAAGCAAGTAGGGTACAAGAGGATTTCAGAGAGGTGTTCAAAGGAAACATTAAAGTTCAGATCTAGAAACGTGATCCCGTATTTTGACAGTAAATTGGTAGAACTTTCACTTTTTCATGAATAATTTTTCATGGTGTATATTTTAGCTTGACTGCAATGCCAGCATTTTCTCTGCTGTAAGGTGACACATACAGCCTTTAGCAGGAGCACATAAAGGAATTAAAAATCCAACTGAAAGTTCAGTGAAGACTAGAAAACTTAAATCCTCTTCTTTCTTGCAAAAATCTGACTATTTAGGAACACAAAATAATGTTTTGTTCTACTCAGATAATGAAAAATCAAGCATCTTCTAAGAGAGCTTATAGTTTATGACTTGTCCCAAGAATTTCCAAAAGCAAAGACATTTGGGTGATCTATTTGTGTATCTTTTGGCATGTAGATTTTATATTGTTACCCAGTGTGTTCTATGTTGTATAATATATCATATATAATACTGTATTTCTCATATATAGAATGTTCTGAGCCACATCTCTGCTCAGCTGCTGTGTTTTCAGTGCTGCGTATTGAACATAGCTTTGAAATTCTAAAAACCTTCAGTAACGCATGAGCAACAACTTGCAGCTCTACAGAAAATTGATGTTGGCATCTCATGTATATAGGCTCGCTTAAAGCCTGTTGAAGTGGACTTTGAGGCTGAATCATGTTTTTTTTTTTTTTTTTTTTTTTTTTTCCTCCCTGCAGATTAGTTTATTGGTTGTGAAGAGCCACGGACGCTTCGTGCCCTGATGGGGGACTCAGGATCTAGACGATCGACTCTAGTATCTCGGTTGCCAATATTCAGGAGAAGTATTAGCCGGAGACACGACTCCCTTCCGTCATCGCCTTCTTCTGCTAATGCCATTGGTGTCCACACCTCCTCCCCATCCAGCACTAACTCCAGCTCAGGGAGCACAGGCAAACGCCGGAGTATTTTCCGCACTCCTTCCATTAGCTTCCATAACAAGAAAGCGAGTGAGCAGAAGCCTGACTCAGCGAGTCAAAATGTTAACATCTCAAATGGTGCCCAGTCCTCTCTCAGCACTTTTCAAAAACTGAGCTTAGAGGAACACATTAAAAGCAGAGGAAGGCATTCAGTTGGCTTTGGCAGCTCTCGTAACAAGAAGATAACAAGGTCTTTGACAGATGATTTTGAAAAGGGAAAGGAGCCCTCAGCTAATAAGAATGTATTTATAAATTGCATAAGCTCTGGGAAGAATGAGGGTGATGATTCAGGCTTTGCAGAGGAGCAGAGCCGATACTCTGTCAAACATTCCACGCGAAAACTTCTCCCTAAATCTTTCTCATCGCACTACAAATTTTCCAAACCAGTTCCAGAGAGTCAGTCGGTTTCCTCTGTGCAGCAGTCCAGGTGCCTGCTGGAGTTTAAATCGTATGTGGAAAGCGAACCCGTGATCGCCAAGTCCTCTCCTCCATGTTCAGCTGAGACGACAGAGTGCATGGGAAGCTCCTTGCAGTCCCCGCTGCTCTCGGCTGACCTCACGGCTGCCCAGACCCCCTCTGACTTTGTTGCTCTGACGGAGGATTCTGTTTCAGAGGTTGATGCTCTGCCTAGCAATGGGACTGGGGCCCTGCTCGCAGAGGATTTTGGCCACAATGTCTCTACCTCTCAGGTCTTCTTTAATCCTGCTGCTGCTCGGGAAATGGATATTGTGGAAAGTACTGGCCATTCTGCTGGTGTATCTCCTGTGAGTCACGCAAGTTCGTGTAGTGTTGAATCTAATACCTTATTCAAAACCTCAGCTGCTAATCAAACAAAAGTATTGTTGCAAGCTAATCAACTACATATTAATGATCCACGGCACATAGGAGAAATTAACGCGGCAAATGCACATTTAGAAACCTTTGCGTTACAGCACAGAGAAGAACCAGTGATGCTCTCTCCAATGGCACAGGGGTTGAATGGGGACAGAGATGAAAGCACGCCATGCAAGCACACGAGAGAGACAGTTCCTGTAATGGAGTCTAAGGTTGTTCCATGTTCTGAACCTCAGTCCTTTAAGACACAACAGGGTTATGAAACAAATCGTTCTAAAGGTATGTCTCATGGTGTTGTTGAGTTTGGTGTGGGTTTTTTGGCCTCAGTTCTTCTGTAAGAATTGTTTGGTCATAGTGTTTTTGTAGAGTTGCCAGTGCTAGCTGGGAAGTTCAACAGTTATGAGTTGTGCATTCCACCCAAAATTGTGGGAATTAAACAAGAAGTCAATGATTTTTTGAGTTCATGTTTTACAGTTTGCTAGTACCCATCATGCTTTCCTGTGGTAGAAAATTAATTAAGAAAGAAAGTATTGATTCTTGCCTCTTGGTGAAGACTGAAGCTGGGATTTTTGAGGCATGCCTAGTTTGGGCTTGAGCTAAAGAGTTGCTTTGTTTGAGATGGAAACATTGCCAGAGAAATAAAGCTTTTAGTCTGGTTGTGAAAAATAAAACAGTTTCTCTTATATTGATCTGGGTGTTGAAATTTCCCAGCTCTTGCTTGCTCTATTCAATTGATGTTATAGAGTAGCTTGGAGTGGATGTTTTTGTGGCAGAGTATGAGATCCTTTTTCTGCTTCCATCTGAAATAACATTGGGCAAGTTCTCATTATGTAATCCATGAAATGGAGAGAGTTAATTACCATCTAAGTTTCTTTCTGGATCTTTATCTTATGAAAAGGAATTTGGAAATACTGACAAGATCAAGTGAAAAGGCTGTGCTGAGAAATCCCAGTCTACAGAAATGCAGATGAATAAAGGCACCGGGCCCTTGAGTGAAGGACACCTGTCAGAAGCCATTTATCTCTGACAATTTATTTTCTCAAACCAACCGAAAGACCGGTGCTTTCTTGCATAATCCTGAGACTCCATCTGGTGGGCCAAAATTTGTGAGAGTTAGCAAGACTGTGTTTATAGTGATTGTATTAGAAGATGAATGAGTGTAAACTCATATGAATTCATACCCATCTTTTTGCTTGGACATTTATCTAGGCATGTAGATTATAAGCTATCAAAAGCAATCTTGCTTTTTGAGTTATTTGTCACTGCAAGGCTTGTTTTGGATATCTTGAACATAAATGGCAATATAAAGTCAAATTAATTCACTAAATTAGCTTTCACCAGAAGGGACCTGTTTGCCCCAGAACCATAGTCAATTGGGATAAAAAATATTTCCATTTATGTATGTTTCTGGTCCTGCTCACTTGGTTGGTCTTTCTTACAACATTGGCTCATCTGTGAATGAGCTCATCCTTTTGAATCTGACTTAGAGCCTATTGCAGAACAGCAAGTGAGCAGGTCAGAGTGATGCTTAGAAATACACAGTGCATTTGAAACTCATGCATTGGCAGTTTTATGTTTAATCTCTGTTTCTGGAAGGCAGCTAACTGGAGTTGAAACTGTGGTAGAGGGATTTTGGTAACAGAAACAGTAGAGTTAATACTGCACTATATAAAAGTCAATGATTAATTTTTAGCGTCTTATAGTTCTGTTCAAAATGTAATTTTTTTGACTTGTGTGGTGAAGAATGTATTTAAAATTAGAAACTGGCTAAGCATACAAAGGGACAATTGGAAAAAAATACAAAATCCTGCCATATGAAACGAAACAAATATAGAAAAAGCTTACATGGCATTCACTAAGATACGGTTATAAGTAGTTATATCTGTTACAAACAGACTGGTTTGAATATTTGGTTTTCCTAAAACAGTATTTAAAACCAGATGTGAATGCAAAAGATTTCTGTGCATTTTCTTTGGTAATAGATATTTTCTCTTCCATAGCTGGTCTCATAGCTGATATCATTATAGATAGTATCATGAAAGTGACATTAATGTATGAGCAGACTTGATGTGCCATATATTTTGTAGTATACCTTTATATATTTTTATGTGATATGGATTTTTTTTGAAAAGCCTTAGAGAAAATATCTGTTCTCTTGCAAAAGGTAAAAGAAGATAAGATTTTTCTGTTACATTTATTATCTTATTATGCTTTTCTCTCTCCCCATCTCTAAATTTGCCTTAACACCTCAAAATTTTTCTTTTCTTTTTTGATGAGTTACTGTTTAACCTGAGTTGGGGGCTGGGATTGAGCCTGCTGGCTGCAGGCTGGGCTTGGAGGGCACAGATGCAGCGCTGAGCTAGGAAGGTCAAACAGAAACCAAACCCTATGTCCTATGGAGTGGTGACAAAGCTGTGACCTGGCCCTGCAAACCCTGGACCTGCTTCTGAATGCAGGATAAGGCAGGTTGGGTTTTGGCACCAGTGGAGCAGTGATAGTTTCTCTGGTGGATTTTACTGAACAGTGGTTTAGAAGTGTCCTAGAACATGGGGAGAAAGGAAAGGATGGAGCGAAGGTTCTCCTGGGTTCTGTGAGGAGCCGTGGACTGTAGCGTACTGAGTGTGCTAGTCACTGGGGCCTGAACAGTGAACTGGTGGCCCAGGTGACACCTTTATCTAGGTAAGCAGGATTTGCATTCTACATAACTTCTATGTGATTGCCACTCAATGTAAGCGTTCCAAGCGAAGTGGTGTTCTCCTTAAGAAAATACTTCTAGAGAATAATTCTTTGTAATGATTACTGATTGCTTCTCTGTTTGTAGTTGATCTTGCCAATAGCTTCAGTCCATACCGAGAAGGCAGATTCCTTGAGAAACGACTGAGATCCTCTTCAGAAGGTACTGCTGGAGGCAGTCGGCTGATCATAAAGCCAAAGGATGGAAATACAGAAGAGCTTAACAGCCTACGGAAGCAGAGAGCAAGCTCGTCCTCATCAAAAATGAACAGCATGGTGAGTTTATTCCCATATGCGTAAGTTTTTATTTTTCTGTGATTAGCGTAACTAATGAGAAGCAGCAACTTTACAAGTAACGGATGGTAAGAAAGGAGGAAAAAAAAAACCCAACCCAAAAGCTGTTTCAGGCTTCCAAACTGTGATCCAGGCTCAGCTACAGGTATTAAAAGTATCTTTTTCAGGGTGTGACATTGTGAAAAGGTTTAATACTTTCTGTAAAGGGATTCTTCTTGTCATACTTTGCTGATTTGCCTGGTAGAAAACTACTGGGAGAGGGAATAGTAGCACAATTCAGTATTACTATTTATGAGGTTAAATACAGTGAGCTACTCTGTGGCAATGTTTTATTGTTACTGTGTTAGTTATTTCATGGACTCATGTCTGGTATGGGTGAGATGAGATTCAGACCAGAAGTTGGATAGAGAGAAAGTTGTTTGTAAGGAGGCTCATGTGAAGGTCTGAGTGGTCTTTTTCGAAACTGGTTACGAGTTTGAATGCTTTTGCTCTGAGCACAAGGCAAGGATGAGAGCATCACTTCTGAGAACCCTTGAGGGTCCCGAGGGCTGGAAAAGCTAAGACAGATCAGATGACTGCAGGACAGTACTGTTGAAACTTCTGCTAGTGAAATAATAGTAGAAGGAACTGACTGACAAGTTTGTACTTTCCTATAGCCAGTGAGAATAAAGGTTTTAAGATGAGTGTAATTTATATTTACACGTGTGCTCGCCAGTGAGAGGAATAAAGAAGATGCCAAGATTGAACGTCTACAGAAATGGTATCCACTCTTTAGCTTATAGAAATCACTAAACAAGTTTTATGGCCATTATTAGTTCGAAATACTTCATTCAGCGTGCTAGCTGAAAAAAGGAGGATTCATTTTGTACCTATATCTGAAAACAGCTTTCCATAGAGTGCAAAAAGCCCCAAGTTTCTTAGAGCTGCCTAGATGGGTAAATGAAGGGACCTTTCCTTTTCAGGTTTACATAATAGCCATTATGTTACAGTGTTGCAGGACCAAATACATGACTGAGAGACTCGGATGTGAACACAACTGCATTTTGTAAGAGAGAATTTTTGCAGTTTTTCTGAGATGTGAAACTGATCGGTGCAAACTGGTATTAGATTTCCAGTGACATAGTCTTTTGCTGTAGTTTCACAGGCTAATAGAAAAACTCAACAACTCATACCATTAGCTAGACAACTTTTATGACTGTGTGTTGCTTTGGCTGCCACTAAACATAATGTCTTCTCTCTCACCTGAGAAGCCAATGAAGGGTAAAATTGTCTTCCTCTGTGAGATTCGCCCATACTAGTTCCTGGTTGGTCATTTAAAAATAAGTCCCAAGAGAAGTATCTGGTTCAGTGTGAATTCCCCTTAGGGAAACTGTGGTGGGAAATTGGGGTTTGGGAGTTTCTTAAGAGGATGTGAAATCTGTCTTTTGTCTTGGTAAATCTCACCCGTGTGTCTGAATGTATCATCCAAACCTTTTTTTTTTTTGTGGCTGGGCTCACAAATGCTGCTGTGGATGGCAGGAGAAAATTACATCAGTAGCGAGCACATTATTACTATGTACGGCTGATGCACAACAGGTTTTCTTGTGTACTGGTGTCCTCAAGCAATGGTCACTACAAACACTCAACTAAAATGGAGTTACAGAAATGCTTGCTTGTAGACTCACTTTCTGTAACCTGGGCAGATTGGATTATCTACACTTCAACGGCAGAATTATTCTCTTAGCAGTGTCAGATTGTGCAGATCTATCAGTATTCACTGATTACTTTTATACTACCTGAAATGGCAGGAGGCAAATTAATTTTAGGAAGGAGAAGATTTTAGATATCTGCCTTCCTTGTTTCCAGATCATTGCCAGCTTGTCAGGTGAAGTAGTACAGCAATACAAAATGTATTTCAACAACAAAAAATCTTAAATATTTAAATTTTTTTTAATTCTCTGAATTATTACATCCAGAGATACAGCATAGAAATAAAGATGAAGAATTGCTAAATAGTAGAAGAAACCTTGGTTTAATTAAAGCAAACAGTTATAGTGCATTTCTCTGTTTTTGTAGGAAGTTCACATCCAAATTATCAGTGATGAACAACTTAGTTTTCAAAGCCAGAAAGAACTTGATGACACTTAACGATGCTGTTTCATTTAGGCACACAGAGCATCATGCAGATGTAGTTCCTGCCCTAAAAAGCTGGTTAACCCTGGCTGAAGCCTGTAAAACTTATTTGAGTTGTTAGACCCAAGCTATTAGGTAGATCTCTGTCTTCATTTAAGCACTAGGCTAGACTGAAGATACAGGACTTCATTCTATTTAGTCCTGTATTACTGATGGGACTGGGAAGGTGACAGCACAGTAACAGCAGGAAGTAAGCGAAGTGTGCATGGGGGATAGATGGCAATTTGAGTCTCTTCATGTTTTGTGTATGAAACCCATGAGTTTTGTTTCCACTTCCATTAGTAAGATTGGCACGGATTCACAAGTGTTTGCTCGTGCTTTATTTGTGTTAGTCACATACCCAGAACTTGTATGTCAAGATCACTGTGCATACTCATGAGTGAAGGTAAAATTATTCCTGCTATCCACCCAATGCATATGGATATCATCTTCATATGTTAAGAAAAATGCTAAATGAAAGCTCTTTTAGTGAAAAGTGACATTTAAGAAGTAGTAAAACAAACCCAAAACCAACAACACCCGCTGCCCCACCCTCCCCCCCTTCCAAACAACCAGAAGGCAAAAGAATAAGCAGAGTTTCTTGGAAGCAAAAGGAATTAAAAATTGAAGAAATTGAATGTTTGTCATAACATTCTGAACAGTAAAAAGGCACCTGCAAAATACTTATCACAAGCAATTGATGTTTAACACCACAACAGCACATTGTTACCAGTGAATGATCCTAATGAAGAATAAATACCAGGTAAAGAATTGGAGCTGCTTATCAAAGTATTATTAAAAACCTTAACCTAACTTTCTTGTGTGCCTAGAGACACATTAGTCACTCTTCTGTGGCTATCTGTATTAATTTTGTTCAATTTTGGAAGAAAATGAACCACAGGCGATTAAGGGATGTGGCAAGTTGATGGGGGACTGCAGAGGCCTCCCTGACAAGGGAAGCATTGCTCTTCAGTTCTGCTCTGTGGCACTGAGTGACTGGTAGTAGGTGCAGATGTTGGTTTTCTGGGATCATCCAGATGTCTTATTAGGCTGAAGCAGCTTTGTGGTGTGGGAGATAGATACCCTTTCCTTGTAAACTGAGGAAAGTCTTCCAAGACCTTGTTTCCTTTCTTTTTCTTGTTGGCAGGCAGCACGGGCTGCTGCTGCTGAGGGGCTGGCAGGAGCGAGGAGCCAGAAGAACTGAGGGGATGCTAAATTTTCTCAGGAGCTAAGATGAAAAAAAAGACTAGCATCTGAGAAACTGTTCTTCCTCCTAAACGACTTGCCCAGCAGAGTATTCTTGCATGATTGGCAGTGCTCTTTTTGAAGGCGATAGGTAAACGTTTGGATAGGTGGATGTCCTAAATACCGAGAGTATATGTCAAACCTACCAAGATGGTAACCACCTCGCCCAAGAGTGGCACTAACTCACTTGTGAGATGCCAAAAGTAATTTATATTCTGGGCAAGAGCAATGGTACTCATAAATGAGATGTAAGGAAAGCAAACAGTCGTTCAAAATAACTCTGCAAACGTGTCAGTTTTATAGTAATGTAAATAATGAACTGAAGCAGATGCTTGGGATTGATTTAGATTATGTGCATTTTTCATCAGAATAGTTTCAAAGACGTCATTCTTGCAGTGACCGATTTCTGCCACAAGATGCCACCATTTCACTAAAAATGGTTTTAGACTTTAGCGGTCCATAACACAAGCCGTGAAAACTGCAATTCAGGACACGTTTTTGAAACAGTTTAATGTTGATTAGGCTGTGCAGTGTAATAGACCCTTTTCAAATTAACATTGTTGATACTAATGCAGTTTAAAGAGATTCATATTGCTATAGAAACTAGCCATCCAAATGTTCTAACTATGAAGTCATCAGTTACAACTTCAAATATTTAGACATAACATATACAGTATTTAACTACGTCTCAGAAGATTGATAGAGACAATGGCTGACCTCTCTGTTTTCTAGCTAGGTGGTTCTTCTTTTCCAATGTGTAATAGAGGCAAGAATAAAGAAAGAAAAATGCAAAGCAGTATGGTAAAAGACCTGAATGAATGGAAATGTGCAGCCCTGCCAGACCAATGAAAAAGAATGTAAACCTGGGTAGTTGAAATGTAGGACAGAATTAGAATAACCACGTTGAAAAAAATAGGATCAGGCCCCCAGATCACTGTAAGTAAGTTCTTTAAGAGGATTAGGAGACAGAACAGCAGGAAAAGAGGGTTGACATGCTACAGTACTTAGAATTAACAGTAGAAATTGAGGGTTGTATGTGAGCAAGAAAATTATCTATCACTTCTTATAGTAGTGGCTAATGTGGAAAGATGGCTATCTTAAATATCATCTTTACCAGTACTAAAGAGGAAACGTAAAAAACAAATAATAATTTGCTGATTTTTTTTAAAAAGAGTTGCTGATAAAGATTTTGAAGTGCTAACTAAATTAGTCAGTCGTTAAAACCAGATAGTCATGAACAATGATATGAATAAAAGTAGCTGTACATTACTACAAGTTAAAAAGTTCAGAGGATTGTTGGAGCCCCTGGGTCACACTGCCCAACTTCAAGATGTGAGCTGCACTGTGCTGTATGTACACACACATTTTTACTCTGTCTAGAAATGTGACTGCATGCATGCAGTAGAGTGAGACTGCCCACTTACATTTGGCTCTCACAGACCTGCCTTTCTGCCTCTCTGCAATTATTTACAAAAAAAATTGTTTTAGTGACTGCTCTCTTATCCATACCTGGCTATCAGCATATGTGCTATATGACTAAAAGAAACCTAATTTTTCAACTTTTTCCTGCCTCAGTGGTTGAACGT